TATCTATCTATCTATCCATCCATCCATCCATCTATATATACACACATAGATATATATAGATATATATCTATATGAGCACTTCCACACTGAATGCTCAAAATCCAGAATCCACATTAGTAATTTAGGAGAGATCAAGCGTGTCAAACTCAATCTCAGTAAAGACCAAACTGACAAATTAGAGTCAAAGGTGTGTTTCTTCATTTTGTTATTTTTGTTATACAATTAGCACAAATAATGACCTCCAAAGCCCCAAAAGTTATGGCTGCATCACAGAATGGCATTTACAAGCAACATGTAAGCATTTAATAAAATGTTTATGATACATTATGAATAATAAAGACACTTTTATTGGTGTACAGTATTTATCATCAATATAACATTTTCACATATTTTTATATGACTGCATTTTATTGACCAATCTCTCATTCTGCTTCTATGCCAGCCTCCAAATGTGAGTGTTTTAATACACTAATAAGCTCTTCTGTCTGTTTCTAGCTAAATTATAGATTTAGTTGTAAGCAGAGAGAATTAAATTACAGACTAAATTCAATTATATTTATTAGGTAAATTGATAATACTTATAAAACAGGCTTTATAAAGTAATACCCATCATTTATCTCACCTGGATCATCAATTAGACAAGGTTTATAAATCTCACGGACTCTTTCCAACTTGCTCCAGTGACCTAAATGTGACAACAGACCTGATGGCACTTTTTAAAAGGTCTGCTTTCTGTAATAAAAGAATAAAACAGTGAGAAACAGGCTGAACTTGAATGCAGCATTTGTGCAACCAGCTGTGAGATCCTGCTTTTTGTATGGAGTCTATGCCGTACACATTTCAGTGCACTTCACAGTGTTTTATTAATTCATTACCGAATTCTACTTTTTAGGCCTGATCTAAGGCAGCTGGTTTTTTGTTGTCTTAAATTTTCTATCAGGAAGCAAATACACAGTGATAAGTTCAGGAATTTTGAAAACAAAACAAAGCGCTAGCTTAATTTAAAGCATCAGTTAGTAATGGCCTTTGAAATCCCTTAAACTACATATATACAGATATTTATATGTTCCAGTGTTTAGTTTCTCTGATTGTATTCCAGCGTGGAAACGGGACACGAAGCTGCCACTGAGGTGCAGCACAAAATGTGTGTTGGAGTGTTTGTGCTCCACACAGCAAGTGCATCATTTTACTTTACGTTGTTAGGAATAACACATCATGTTTAAGTTTATTTATAATCAGTAAATAATGCACTGCCTCTGCAAGAAAAGGCTATGGTCAGAAAAAATGCAAATAAAATAAAAGCCATTTTGCCCACAGTTGGCAATTGAAGTCAATGTTTCTTGGTTGGCTTTAGAGCTTCTCCTGTGCAGCACCTGTTTGTGTAACAGTCAATGGTCAAGTTTAGGGAAAGCCTTTTATTAATTTTATTTTAAAGCCTTTTATTAATATAGTTCCTTTGTAAACCATCCATCCATCTTGTGCTCACTCAGTTCAGATTTGTAGGCGGTTTGAATCTACCTGTGATGAGGTAGAACCACTGGACAGGTCACAAATTTTTACAGGGCTAACACAGAGAGACAGATAACCATCCACAACTCAGAATCACCACTTCTTCACCATGTTGCTAGATGTAGGAGGAAGCTAATGTCCTCAGACTGAGCCCACGCAGTTACAGCGAGAACATGAAATCTCCAAACAGAGAGCCCCAACCAGCAGGCAGATTTGAATCCAGGACATTCCCAGAGTGAGGCGAGAGTCCTAACCATCACACCTCTATTCCACTTCTGAAATGTAATCTTCAAATGGAACATAGACATTAAAGGCGGACCTTTGAGTTGCAGTTCAGGTTTTAATCAAGGGAGCCTAGTGACGCAATGTTTGCTGATGAAGCTGCAAATCTCCAAACAAAGTGAGTGGAAAGTGCAGTGGAAAAGGCCCTTTAAGCACTCTAATGAGAGAATTAATCAATTACATTTAGAGTTCCATGATTATAAAAAACTAGAGCAGTAACAGTAGATATCTCAAATGTGAGTGCCTGCCAGCGAGTATCTGCTACAACTGTACTTTTAGATTAGACAAGCATTTTGGTCAGCATTTTGGCAACAGAGATTTCCAAGGTATCCATTCACCTTTAAACGAGGAGTATGGATGCACTCATGTCTGAAGTGCAAGCTGCTCTTACACTTTTGTTTTCTTTACTGTGTTAGAGATACATTTATATTATATTGAAAACACCACAATATTTTCTCTATTGTGAAATCCAAGCTAAGTAATTCCTCTTCCCCGACATCATATTGGCAAGTCCCTAACCCATATTCTGGAGAAAGGCAAAATGATTATGTGAACAGATTTCTGTGTATGTCAGTCAGAACTTCCCTGAAAGCCAAGATTTTGGAAAAAAATAATAATAATAATTTTAAAAAACATACAGAGGACTTTTTGTACATGGATTTAGGATTTATGGAAAATGGCCCTGCCAGTCTTCCGGATGTGTTATGCTAAATGTATTCTTTAACACTTTTATTTTATTTTACACAAGTCTGGATTCAAGTGTTCATATACTTTTATAATCATAGAGAAAGTTCATTCACCTACATGAAGAAAAAGTGTTAGCTATATTACATCCAATTACTGTTAATCACAGGCTAACTTTAGACAGCATGCTGTAATGAATATATCCAGTTTTACACCATTCTCCTTTAGACAACTGAATACTTATGTCACCCCCGTGAAACAAACTCTCATCACCTAGAAATATAACACAGAACATAGCAGGTTATCATCTAAAGGATATCACAATACAGTGAGGCCTGCTGGGATGATTGACCCGTGTGTGTGTTTGATTGTATAATCATCAATGACTAAACCTCTACTTGCTTTATTGTGTACCAATTTTCACAGAAATGCTCTGACTTACTTCTTCTATTTGTAGAATACTACTACTTAATTAGCCAGCAGGTACTGTTCTATAAATTATTGTGAATCTTTTTATTTTGATGTAATTCCATGTCATAGACTTTGGCTTTCATTCGTGAGCCCCTCGGGATAAAGATTTTTGCAGTCTAGCAACAGATGTGAAATAATATTACATAAATGTAATAATTTGTTTCACTATCAGCCAGGTTAATTAGTTTGTGGAAATGGGTAACCTGTTTCTCATTGGGTAATTTGTCACACACTGACGCGGTAGCCAATCAGTGACCCTGCTGTTGGTGGGATCATTTCTCCCAGAATGCTGTGCAGCGAGGGTGTCGCAGAAAATGCGAGCGCGAGCCAATGTTTACCTCCTATTTATTCCACACAAATAAATGAAATCAGTCAATAAACCATCCAAGGGTGAATATGGCTCTCTCTATCCTGGATTATGAATGAGAGCTCATTAATTTTCTTGCGTGTGTGTGTGTATGTGTGTGTGTGTGTGTGAGAGAGTTTAACAGTTTAAATGTGTGTGTTTGCATGCATTTTCAGGTGTGCACGTGTGGTTATTTTCTTTCTGCACATATGTTTATGATGTGCACAGAAGGATGTCAGAGGGACATTATGCACAAATACTAAAGAGCAATTAGAAATCAGAATGGTAACACACAAATATTCACACGTTTGTAATTATGTTTACAAAACAACAGCAGTAGACTGACATTTCAGTAATTCTGATATGATGATTAGCGGATCAATACAATACTCATACAAACTTGTCCACTGACAACAATGAAAACAGAGGGAAAGTGCTAACCTCTGAAGCTAGAAATCGGCCTATCAGTACCAATAAAGCTTAATAAATAGGTTTAATGTCTCTGTTTTTAATACTTCTTGGAATCTTTGTCAAAGCCACTCGGCCTAGTCATGAAACACAGAATAACTTCAAGTAGAAAATAAAATAAGGTACAAATATTAAACTTCAGATGTGCACAAAAGTTCTTTTTTCATGCTATCTACACTAAGTTAATCTAAGTTAAACAGTATGTATGAGAGGTGTATCCATAATACACACAGATGCTAATGAGGTCAGAAAAATTATTGGCCTGACTGAAAAAAGCAGGTTCAGCTTCTCCCTCTTTATGCCAGCAATCTTACTGACAATAAGATGAAATTAGTCTGCTATCTGTCTGCCATTGGTTTGCTACTGAATGGGGTCAAGTCCTCTGATGCAAAGAGACCTGTCACAGATGTGTTGCATTCATCAGTGCAGACTGACTGTTTAAGGAATCTGTCTATATTTATTTATTAGACAGCAATTATTTGCAAACCTTCGCCAATATCTTTGAGAGTGATTGCAATCAGTCTGATTCCCATTGCTGCTGTCTGTAGACTGGTTACTTTGCGCCAGGTGATTTATGAAATCATCCAGAAACAAGCAGTTTTTACTATATTGTGACTGAGCGACACTGACTCTCTTCTTCTCCCTTGTATTGATCTCTCCTCGGCTAATTGCATCCACTGAGGTTGACCTGTTCAC